CTAGGAAGGCCACACCCAAAGGCAGAGCAAGAGAAGGGGACACACACAGGGCATTTCCATGGAACATTCTATCCCCAACAGGAGAGAGAGGAAGGATTAGGAAAGAATAGGTGAGTGTAGCCCAACCCCATGGGTGACACACCTACACCGGAAAACACTCCTTCTACTTCCCGGACAGAGASAACGCCCAAGTCACCWCGAAATGAAGTGATTGGTCAGAGCCTCTTGCTTCAGGACTGGAAGGCGTGGCTCCCCACTGCCAAAGTCTTGGCTTGGCACAGAATCACGAGCCACCACACACCTTGTAGATTCAAACAGCAATTCTTTATTCCCGAACTCACACCGGCCTCCACACACGTTCAGGGGAAATCCAAAATCTGCCCGCACAATTCACCTACTCCACGAGGCTTTTTTCCAAATCCCATTTTAATCTCACGAGAACTCAACGGGAACAAGCCGCAGGAACACCCTAATCCCAGCAGCAATAATCTTCAACCTCCAACTTCCCTAAAACCCATATTGTCTTAAACCGGGAACGCCTTAAACTCAAGGAGCGGGAGAAACTTCCTCAAACCTGATCAGCTCTAAACCCGGATCCGCCCTGGTCCTTGAACAAGGTCACCTTACATGCAATGTTAACAGCGAAATTCCAAGGCAAGTCCATTTAACATGGGGTACGCTGGCAAGGAAATTTCGATGCGTCATTCCTACTTGGCAATGGCCCTCAGCACCCCACAATCTGGAAAATTATTATACAATGACTTACTTCTTAAGAATACACCTGTTGGTCTGGGGTTGTGGCTCAGTGGAAGAGCGCTTGCCTCCCATGTATGGGGCACTGAGTTCAACCCTCAGCAYCACATAAATAAATAAAAGAAAGGTACTGTGTCCATCAACAACTAAAAAAATTTAAAAAGAGAATACAACTGTTAGCTACTAAAAAGCAACTTATAAGCAAAGTGCAATTATACATCAATAAAGTGGGAAAAGGGACAACTATCAAGTTTAAAAGCCATCTTATAAGGAATGACTGGTTAGCTGTACTTTTTCTAAGTTAACTCAGCACCTCTTATTTTTGTGTGACAGCAAAACATACCTACCTTTTTTCTTGGCATTTTTCTTGGATCACTGACAACAGGAATGAGATTACTTCACGAAGGAGAAAGATATTTTCCACTCCATCTCCTGCAATCTTGGGTCCTCACAGGCCCCTGACGTCACTTGCCTGATGGGCCACTGTGCCACACCTGGGAGGAGGAATAACTAAACAGAACTCAGGAAGTAGAGTTACCTTTGTCGCTGAGTTCTCTTCTGTGATTTTTTTTTTTTTTTTTTTTTAGGATCATTTTGGCCACTGTTTTCCCACTGACGCTTGAAACCTATTTGGTTTCCACAAATTAAGACTGCTGAGCTCTTTTTGAATTTACTAATTGAAATGTTTAACATAAAATTGTTGTGGTTGTTATTACTTTGAATCTGGAGTGTCCCCAGGCTCGTGTGTTGAAGACTTGATCCTCAATGCAGCAATGTCCAGAGGGGAGGCTTTGGGGAGCAGTTGGATGGTGAAAGCTGTGATCTCCTCAGTGGGCTAATCCATGGATGGATTCATAATCTGGGCATTGTTTAGAGGTGATAGAAACTGAAGGAGGTGTGTCCTTAGAGAGAGTGGGAACTTGGGGGCATGCCCTTGGGTACTGTGGCCCCTCCCTGGCCCCTTTCTGTGTTCTAGGTGTTGTGGGGTGAGCAGCTTTCCTTTGCCGTGCCCTCTGCATGATGTTCTGTTTCCCCTTTGAAACCGTGAGCAGAAATAAACCTTGCCTCTTCTACCGTTGTCCACAAAGGGAGGTGTGCAAGCTCTAAGCACACCAYAGGCTGATCCACTCCCCTGGCCCTGGGGAAGAAGCCAGCTCTGCAGACAAGGGCTGTGCCTACTTCCCCCTACTGGAGCCAACTGGCTCTGACAAAAGGACTGCCCACGATTTAATCAGCTCTCCCCTTTTATCTCATTATAATTTTTTTTGAAATTTGCAAACTCAAGTGTTGTTTGCCTGTGGACAAATTGCTTATGCTAATTATTTTGGAATATTAATACCTGTAAACACATGCATGTTTTAGTTTTAGTTTCTAGAAGTAACGTTGGTGAATGAGGTGTATCAGGAGAAAATGTGGCTGTCAGGCAACCATTTTTGCAGGTAGAGTTGCCCCTTGGTATCTGTAGGGGATTCATTCCAAGATTCCCTGTGGCTACTAAAATCCATGAATTCTCAGGTCCTTTATATAAAATGGCACAGTATGTGCTAGGAGCAGTGGTGCACACCTGTAATCCCCAGTGGCTTAGGAGGCTGAGGCAGGAGGATCACGAGTTCAAAGCCAGCCTCAGCAATTTAGCAAGACCCTAAGCAACTCAGTGAGAGTCTGTCTCTAAATAAAATACAAAAAGGGGGGGGGGGCTGGGGATGTGGCTTAGTGGTTAAGTGCCTCTGAGTTCAATCCCTGTTAAAAAAAAAATTGGCACAGTATGTGTATATAATCTATAATATACTCCATATACTTTAAATCTCTTTAGATTACTTACAATTCCTAATAAAATGTAAATGCTATGTACTTATTGTCATTATATTGTTTAGGAAATAATAACAATAAAAAAATCTGTACCTATTTAGCACAGACACAATCATCATAGGCTTAACTGCATTTTTGACCCACAAGGACACATCTCCTTTAGTTTCTATCACCTCTAAACAATGCCATCAGATTATGAATCCATCCTTGGATGAGCCACCCACCCTTAAGAGTTATACAAGGCTGTTGACAGTGGCCTACCTTATAAGGCTGTGTGCAGACTGATGTCAGTACKGGGGTGGCTGTGCTGGTGGGAGGGGCCCTCTGTGAAGGGAGGTCGTCATCTCCAGGACTGACAGGGGTCCCACTCATCAACTCTCCCAGGGCCTGCAGCAGGAAGACCACTCTGGCAGTTGGAGTTGACTTTTTGCCCAATGATCAAGTATTTCAATCCAGAAGCAATTCAAACTCCCCAACTCCTTCTAGATTAAAAATAGGCCCAAGGAATACCCAGACAGGCTAATTGCCCCTTCTCCTCTCACAAAGCTACCAAGGGATGTGTATATGTCATTTTACAAATTAGGTTGTGAATCTTATTTCTACTATCCCTATTCCTGTAATTTTCCTGGTATGTAGCATGGAATGAAACTCATCACTTGTATTCTCAGATATTTGATGATAACCTAACTGTTTTGASAGAAAAAAAATACCAAACAAATATTCTGGTTTTGCCTTCCTCAAATCCTCAAAACTGTTTCATTTATATTGTCAGGACACTGTCTCAGTACGTGCGTGTATACTGATCCCTCTTATTCTGAGCTTTACCGGCTGACTACTCCATTAGCCTGCAAATTTGCCAGCACAGAGCAGCTTCTCTTATTGCTTCCTAAACACCGTTCTTATTCTCCCACCTGTATCTACATTTGCCTTTCTCTAATGTGCCCCTTCCTGCGCCCCCTGCATCTCTACTCTTTCATCGMAATCTCTCTTCCCCTTGGTGCTTTACTGATAGCCCTGCAACTTCCTTTGACACACAGGCCACACTATACTTTTGACACTGACTACAAGGATCTGGGATTATTCTTCTCACACGTGGAGTTGAAACACAAGTAATGGACACAATGAAATGATACTTTTTCACCTACAAAGACAGCAACTCCAATTACTTTAATCTATTACATGTATCTTCCTTTTTGATTGTTTGTGTGGTGCTGGGTGGAGATTGAACCCAGGGCCTCATACCTGCTAGGCAAGCGCTTTACCACACTTTCTGACACTCCCAGACCCTCTTTGCATCTTCTTACAAATTCTCCTTACATTTGACAGTCCCTTACACTGCATAAGTGTTTTCTACTAAAAAGAGAAAGACTTTGGCTATTCTTAAGTAAGCAAACTAGTAAATCAGCTTCCGGTATGGCTATTGGTATTGATTTATAAACAATCTGATGTTTTAGTAGACTATATTTCAAAAAGACCATCCACAGAATTTTCATCAGTAAATTCTATATTCAACAGAATATATTTCATATTTATTATGTCATTTTACTACCAAGTTAGAAAATAACATTAGAATATCTCACTTTTTTCCTAATTACATGTATAGATTCCTCTGTTCCTCTTCTTTATTGGGGTCCTAATTCTATACATAATTACATTAATTATCAAGAGACAACTGAATAAGAAAACTGTATAAGAAAACGTCTTATGATAAAACACACATATTTTTAAAKCTAAGAGACATAGAAGGTATTTGATGTCAAGTGCAGGGCCTTATATCTTTCTAAAATAAAAACATTCAGAACAGGTTGATGCTTATTGAACTGAATTCAATATTCTAAGGACAGAATGCAATTATAGCAGTGAAGAAACATAGGAGCAGGCAGCCTATTATTTTGAGGTCATCTGTACTGTTAGGTCCATACGTAAGAGAGAAATCCGCATTTTACCCGACCCCTGTACTAGCTCTGTGGTTAGATCAGAGAAGTCTGGATTTCTTTTCCAGTGATTCCATTTCTTAGAGCCATGTTTTCCTCTGCTGATTAGTCACATGTTTAGAACATGACCCTGAACACAATTTAGAACAAACCTTTCAGGCATGTAATGTCAGAACATCAGCAGATTTCATGAAAGCAGGTACATGTCCATTTTAGAAAAAAAATATAGAATGAATTTCATATTAGTTGACTCAAATCTGCCATTTGTTGTTGATGAGCCATTAAAACAAACTGTAGCTTTAGTTCCTATATCTCTTTATCTTGAGATCTACACGAAGTACTGCAGTAGTCTTGATGAATGGTCTATCTGAATGTTGGAAAAAGTGGAAAGAAGTCAAGAAATGATGGTAGGAAGCCCGTGTTCAACTCCCAAGTTCCTTCGCTGTCTTGAGAGCATTAAAAAAAAAAAAAAAAAAAAAAAGTTTTAAAAGGTGAGACTTCTCTTCAAAGATCTTCTTCTTTTATGGTCCCAAAAACACAGTCACCTTCTGCTCTCTTAATCTTTCTTTTTCTTGGTAGAAAACTAGAATAGTCCTTCTGTTGTAAAGTAAGCAGAGAGATCAGGTTCATAAATAAGAGGAAATAATTTTCACAATAACAATAACAAAAAATTCAAGGATTTACCTGTTTAAGCAGTAGTTTTTAAAAAAGGTTTTAACCTGCYGAAGCTTAATTTGGGGTTGATGCCCATCTGGTAGGGCCAAGAACAGCGCCCCCTGCAGGGCTTCAGAGGAAGCCATATCCTAAGTGGCTTTTTGAGCCCTGTCACTTCAGGAAAAGTTTAGCTCTGCCTGTCTTGTCCCTCTCTCCAATCTTAAAGTCATGTGACTTTCCATTTTTAACATTAATCTCATATCTTCAGACCATAAAAACAAATTCTAAAATATCATTATGCTTATTTTCAAGCATTTTAAGAGGTCATGGTTACCACAAACCTTCAGTGAGCATGTAGTTTCCTTTCAGTACTTAAGAAATCTCAGAGACAGGGCCTTCGGGGACAMCTCACCAGGCAGATGGGTTAAAACTATTTTCTATGAGAAATATGTCTTGATAAAGAAGCCCTTTGACAGAGTGGTTGAAGAGAGAGATTTAATTTGTTAAAAAAATAAAGACCACTTGGATTCAGACTCTGGCTCTGGCTGTGTGATCTTTGGCCAGCTACTTAACTTTTCTGTGTGTCAGACCCGAAACCAAGGATAATAACAGGACCTGAGTTGTTAGGAGGATTAAATGAGTTTCATAGTGGCCCTCGGAATCCATGGGCTCCACATYCACAGGTTTAACCAACCATTGATGGAAATTATTTTTTAAATTTGCATCTGTACGGACCATGTAGAMTTTTTCTTGTTATTCCCTAGAGAATTCAATATTATAAGTATTTCAATAATAAAGTTTTACATAGCACTTGTACTGTATCAGATATTACAAGTAATCTAGAGATGGTTTAAAATATATAGGAAGATGTATACAGATTACAYGCAAATACTACGCCATTTTATTTATATAAAAGGCCTGAGCATCCAAAGATTTCAGCATCCCCCTTAGATACTGAGGGACWACTATACACAGAGATTCTAACTGTGCCTGGCTCCAAATGAAGCCTTGCTCAATAAATTGGGATTCAATATATTTGGACATCAGGCCCCTTGCTGACAAGCTGGCCCTGCTCAGAACTTGAGCACATTGGCCTGTTGTAAAATTGCTGCTCATCTGGAARGACAACTGAATTAGCATCACTGTCAGTCATGGCTGTGCTGTGTGTCCTGTGGTCTGTAGCTCCCCTTCCTGGGCCCCCATCAGATTCATCTGGAGGCTTGGTAAACAGATTGCTGGGCCCCTCCCCTGGAGTTTCTGATCCAGTAAGTTTGGAGCCCAAGAATTTGAGTTCAAATGATGCCCACACTGCTGGCCCAGGGASTATGCTTCGTGAACCACAATTCTAGCATAATAGTTCCAATCCTGGTTGTATATCAGAACCACTTGGAGAACTTTTAAAAATTCCATTGCCCARGTTCTTCAGACCAATGAAATCAGAATCGCCAAGGTGGGGTCCAGCCATCCTTAGTTTCTAGAGCTCCCCAGGTGATTCCAATGTGGAGCCCAGGTTGAGAACCCCTGTTCTACGCTGYCAGTATGCTGCTGCAACAGTGGAATCAAAATGATGAGGATATTCCCCTCTATGGTTTGCAGGAAATGGAGCTGAAGCTTGGTGCAGTGTTGGTGCTTGTGGGTGCACTGGGGTGCTTGTTATCAATGCTGATTTCCAAGGTCCCCACCGCAGATCTATTGCATCAATATTTAGGGGTGAGGACCAGGAGTCTGACTTTTAAGATGCACTTCAGGAGTCCCTGATGCACATTTAGGTTTCTGGTTTCTCTTAAGACACATAGCTTATAGATGGTAGAGTTTCTGTCTCGGATCTAACCAGAAACCCTATCGTGAAAGAGAAAGCTTTGGTTATGCCATTTTGTTTTCTGAGCTCACTCAAGAAAAGGACCTTATGTACTCACATATTTACAAATATATTCTTATATATGAGGGACCATTATATATATAACAGACCCTGAGACAGATGCTAGATGGATGATTCATCCCATTCAAACACTACTTAGAGGTCACCTTTATTTCATTGACTTACACTACAATTTGGACATAGCAATAATTAGCAAGTAGTTAAGGGCACAATTCTGGGATCAGACTGCTGGCTTCATTCCCCACTGATTACTGTTCAACCTTGGRTATGTCATTTAACTCTCTGAACCTTAGTTTCCTCTGTGGGTTTACAGAGATCTTTGGAGAGGACAAATGTGTTAATTCACAAAGAAGAGCTCAGAATAGTGCCTGGCAATAACAAATCCTTAATGATGTTGTTTATGATGATTCTATTATTGTTATCTACACAGAACTAAATACTCAAAGAAGTATCTTATAAACTTCAAAGTTGTTTCAAACAGGGTACATTGCTAAAAAAAAAAATCTATGAAACGAAAACATACTGAATGCACYAAAATACATAAACTCAAAAGAGAACTTTCCAAAAAATGCATGGGATGCAGAAGAAAATCACTAAGGAATTTTGTGTTCCTCTTGGAAACTTTTCATGTGAAAATTTCCTTAGCCCCRCTGGATGTTACAACAAAAATAACTGTACTTTTGTGACAGCCCTCCGATCTACACAGAGCTTCTGAGCAATTCTGGCTTATTCTTGGAAATAGAATTACTTTGGGTAAAGAGGAAAAAAGAGCAGATTTATCAAAATTATAATGTTTCAATTACATCCTTTTACTCACAGACCTGGCTTTGTTGAACATGGTATTTTTGACTTTTGCCTTGATCCAGGACTTCAATCTGCTAAATAGATTAGTAAAATGTCAGTCAGCACAGCCCAGAGAAAGCAAGCACACAAATCATCTATTTAACTAGCACATTTCCCTTCCACCATAATCCTCTTAATGGTCCCCAAGGCTGTCAGTCCCTAGGCACACATGCTTGTCATCTACGAACCCCCCTTCATCTGCCAGGGTCTAAATGTCACAGACACACCAGTCCCCAAAAGTGCAGGGAGGCTCTGTGTTTAACACTGGCGGTTGGCTGCCTATGGATTTTGCGATTTGACACAGCGTTTAAAAGGACCTCACACGAAATGAAACGCKCTTCTAAATCCTGAGATAATCCACGGAGCTCCAATCCATATGCTGAATCAAAGCCAAGTGMGGCTTCGCTTAATCAAAAGGCACCATTAATCAAATGAAGAATCACACTGAAGTTCAAAGACACTTCACTAGATCTCMTGTCCATGAGGTAAACTTAATCTACCAGTCAGGATCCAGGAGGAAACAGATGGTACACCCCTGGGGTAACCATGAGAATTTTAAAAGGAACTATTTAGCATTTAATGGAGGTTGTGGGCGGGTTTAAAGCAAGTCAGCCCAGGGATGCTGGACCCCCTGGGGGCTGCAGGGAGGGTGGAGGGGGCGGGGATCCTTACCACCTCCTAGCTTGCAGGGGCAGTGGGGGTGGGGGAAGAGCTACTACTGGAACCACCCTAGCCTAGCTGCAGACTTCAGTAGAGGGATGTGAAGCCAGAGGGACTCACCAGGGGCAGGACTGGAGAAATAAGTCGTCCAACCCCACTTTTTCCACTACTCTCCAGCCTCCTACTGGGATTCCCACTGGGTGGTTCCGTGGAAGGCAAGGTCAAAGTCCTCACTGATCAGTCTCAGGGCACAGCGCAGTGGGGGGAGAGTGAACCTTAGGGGCAGACAGTGTCTGGCACATCTAGAGAATGTGACCTAACCAGGGCTGGAGGACAGCGTTCTTAGACTTTTCTTCATGGAAAAGAAAAGGATCATTAAACCAGTCTGCATCACGTGCACGGCTCCTGCCAGGCACAGGGCACTCTGCTCGACAATGGTGGATGTCTCTGCACTAACTGCTTTTCTGTTCCAACACACACACTCCTTGAAGCTGGGTCTTGGTTTCCAGCCAGCATGTGGTAAACGCGGTCATTCATAGATGATAGGATGAAGGGGTGAAGGAGGAAATTCTTTACTGCTGCTTATCACTCACAAGACTAGGGAATGGGACATTCCAGAATAACTGAGGTAAACATCATTAAAAACATGATCTTTTCACTATGGTTAATTTTGCTATAATATAAGTTGCTTTCAGGGGATATACACAGGATTTCCTTTAKGTTAGCAGAATAGAAATGTTCGTGTATTTGAAGCCCATACCTCAATAATTTTAACCAGTTGTTAAGTTTGGTAAATGAGAAATTAATATTCTGATGTCATATGTGTTTGCTATTTTATTTTTTTATTATTTTGTAATATGTTAGAGTTTATAGTCTTGTGCTGTGAATACAGAACCTGGGGGGGRGG